CACATTGTGTAGTAGAGCAAAACTCCAAACAGCCTTCACTGGGAATTCTATCATCTCTACCAGCAGCAGTACAGATTTACGTAAGAGTTGAAAATGGAAATTGCTTTTTATCCTATCATTTTCTCCCCTCTATCCTCATGCACTCATCCATACCTCCTTGTGCGAGTGGGAGACCTGATGCCTCCTCCACAGCTTTGAGATGGGGCAGGGAGTCTTGGGACTAAGTTCACTTTATATAATGCTCCTCTGTGGAGAAGTTGGAAGTTTTGGACAGATCTGGTGTCACTGTGAAGTGCAAGGAAATTAATCCTTGTGAGGGCAAAAAGAGTAAGCAGCAGGAATGCTGAGTGCAGAAAGTAAGTGCTGACCCTTTCTATGGGATGGATTTTGGTATGGCTGCTTCTCTGCTTCTGGGAGCGAGCCAGCTTTCTTCTCAGAAAGACAAAGCACCTCAGGAAACCTGAGCTTTGATCTGAAGCTTAGCAGGGAAAGAAAATGACTATCACTGGACTGGAAGTTAGGAAATCAAGATGTGGGGTATGGAGCAAGACTGAGGATGTCAAATTTTGCCATTTTCACAGAAATAACAAAAATATGCCTGTTGCTATGTTTCAGGAACAGAACTGCCTGTCACCAGTACAGAAGGCTGGCGAAACAGGTTAAACCTTCATCAGCAGTTAGAGATCTGACCAAACCCACAAGGAAAGATACAGACCAATGGCTCCTGGCCCCTGAGGCCCCAGGTCACCTTGCTCTACATTGGCTGGAGAACTTGGGAAAAATGGCTTCTTCTGATCTCACTGGGAACATTTTTACTTCTACAAAGAAGCAGATCTGCTGGCAAAGGAAGTAGGATAAAAAGCTCCCTCCTTAACTTATCTCAAGCCTCTCATTAAAGCTGCCAGAAAGGGTACAGAAAATTGGCTTACAGAGGCTACACAGCCACTGCTGAGGGCTGCTGCCTGCTAAGCAGCAGTAGCTCTCCCCAAGTTGCCAGCCCTCTTTCCCCCAGTCCAAGGCGACTGTGTGAAGGCACTTCTGCCTTCACACTGCAAGTGGTAGAATAGCAAGGGAGCTAGGGGCTCAGACCACATGTCCCTGCATGTTGAAAACCAAACAAGAAAGGAAAGTAAGTTAAAAGATGGCAAGATGATGAGAGAACTGACAAAGGTTGATGAGGTTGGCAAAGGTAAAGCCCAGGGCAGCACCCAAAGTTACTGTAATTGTACCTGAGGCAAAGGTCCAATCAAAAGCCAGTCACATTAAGGGGCACGAGAGGTATCTGAGGTGAGGAAGAGTGGGGACGATAGTGATTTGCTTTGCTAAAAGCACAGATGTTCTGCATTTGTAGCGTCCTTCTCTTCCCTTGTCTCACGACAGAACTGGCAGCTCTGGGCACATAAGGGTGACATCTTGAAGCTGTGCACCTGCCCTGTAGACTGCTGTACCACCACACGCATCAGCAGAGTTCCCCATTCTAATCTTTTTTTAGAAAACTTAACAATTGCCATCACTGAGATGTTTATAACCAAAGAACTCATCAGCGAAGTGTCAAACTCACTCTCAGTGGAAGATTCCCTTTTCACCTCCTCCCCCCCCCCCACATATGTATTTACTCCCCTAACACCAAAACAGATGCACTCACATATAGATATCAGTAAGTGGCTCTGCTCTGTACATTAAAGCCTCTTTCTGGACTGGAATTAATCTTGGCAGCTGTCTGACAGAAGAAACTGTGTGGGAGGAAAACGGTTTTATCTAAAACTTGAAAGAAAGCAAAATAATCTTAGAACAAACTGTGTTTCAACTCTTGCTCCTTCAGTGGAAGATTATTTACTAACAGAAAATATCCAACAACAGCAAAAACACAAATATCTCCAAAAGGTAACTAAGGACTGTGTATTTTTTCTTTCCATTTATTTCTGTGGTCACTTTTCAAATCATGTATTAATAATCCATCTTAGGTTCTCTATAGGATCCAACAATCCAAATCTGTTTTGAAAATTAAAATGAAGGAAATCCCATAGCTTTCTCTTAGCTATGGTAGAGAAGGAAAGGGCTCCTGCTTCAGCCTGCCCCAATCATTCTGTCCTCACCTTCATACTGATGGCTGGTCCCATCCTATTTGGTCTCCTCCTGGGCTTTATGTCACTCCTGGCCATTATCCCCTGCTGTCACCCTGCTGTTTCTACTTCCCAGTTGCCTATGACTGCAGACCACTGCAAGGACCATCCCACTGCTTGAAGCCTTCAAAGAACAGCAGGTCCTTAAGTGAAGTTTCCCAAAGCAAACCAATATTAATGGCTAATCTTTTGGTCTGACAAATTAAAGCTGAAACTATTAATAAACAAAGGCAGATGAAAATGCAATTTCTCACGGTGAGTACTGGTTATCTTTCTGCTATGCCTCGTGTCATTAAAAGCTCAGTTTTAACATAGAAAAATATTGCAGGCCTTTTGTTTGTTTGCTTTCCAAAATCTATTTGGCCTCAATGGTACATGAGGAAAATAAAGTACAGGCACACCTGGAAATTATGGAAATTTGCAACTGATTACAAAAGAGGGGTTTCCAAACCAACCTCTCCTAGAAGGTTCTCTGTATGTCAGAGACTCTACTTTCAAGAACAAAACAGGCTCCATTTGAAATAGTTCGGCTCACTCTGGCGTTTGCCATCCTGAGTGAGAATCCCTGAGAGGAAACCAAAGGCACAGTGCTTTCATGAACCTGCATTGTTCCCTTAAACAGTTCAACAGCACAACACATGACACTATTATACGTGCCTTCACCTGCTGCCAGTACTGCTTCAGGCTTCAGGGACACTGTTCTATAAAATAATGTCAAATTAATCATATTTGAGGCTGGTCCTCTGAATAAATATTTGAAGTTATCTTAATAACATTCCACTCCTGCCCTCTGGAAAACAATGACTTTTATCATGGGATGGCTCTGTATGCTTAGCATATCTCCAAATTACTTCGGTAAAACACAGTAAATTTTATGCATAAAAGCTTTTTGCAGCATTTTAAAAGACAAGTAGAGCCTGAAGATGATGCAGTAACCTGTTTGCATAGTGCTCTGCCATCTATCTCTCCAGACTCTTGAAAAACTGACATGGTTCCTCAAGGGACTTCCTTGATTAAAGAACATTAATTAATTGAGTGAACATCTGTGCTGTTTTTCAACTAATAATTAAGATTAGTGAGGAATTGTAACCTCTTTAGAAGTGAAAAGTATACAGAACAACTGCAGCCCACTATGTCAAAGAATTTGGGTAGGGCTAAGCAACTACAACGTTTGCCATAGTCGTTCCCAAGAGATTTGGAAAGCTGTGTGGTGGAAGCAGTCAGTTTGCTTCCTCGCTAGCCCAGCAACAGGAACATTTTATTTTTGGCTTCATGCGTTAACAGATTAACCATGACAGTGCTGACATCTGTTGCTAAACAAAATTGAGTATAAACGGTCCAGAAAACTGCTGTTAAACTCAGAAATTATTTTTGGAGTTTGAAATTAAGAACTGTCAACACAACTGATGTTTCCACTTACGCACAAAGATGACAAGAATTTTAATGATTTCCCCAAGTTCCACATGCAAAAGAAAGAAGGAAAATAAAAGTAATGATTTTAAGTGCTCACCAACTCTATTATAAAAACCAACTGACCTATATGGTACCATCAGAACTCAAAGACTACTTAACAGGGCTGGATGAGAAACTGTCCTACTGCTTATGGAAACGAAATAGTGCCTCTATTCCACTTCCATCTCAGTGCAACCCACACGGCTGAGGCACACCCAGGACCATTCTTTTCCTCACAGAGGAAATAGTCCTAATTATTGTAATATGGGGCTTTATTCACTGAAACCAAGGAGAGCAAATCTTTGGTACGCAGCACCAGGAAGAATAACAGAATCACAGAATTGCAGGGGTTGGAGGGGACCTCAAGAGATCATGGAGTCCACACCCCTGCTAAAGCAGTTCCCTACAACAGGTCACACAGGCAGGCATCCAGATGGGCCTTGAGTATCTCCACAGAAGGAGACTCCACCACCTCTCTGGGCAGCCTGCTCCAGTGCTCTGTCACTCTTATCATAAAGAATTTCTGCACGTTTGTATGGAACTTCCTAAGTTCTGTCTTAGGCCATTACTCCTTGTTCTATTGCTACACAACGAGCATGACCTCATCCATTTGCTTTCCACTTCCCTTTAGATACTTACAAACATTAATCAGACTGGGCGGAGATTACAGCAAAAATGAGATTTCATTGCACACGACAGAAACCAACTAAGAGTCTAGAGACAACAAATATTGGAAGACTGCAAAAGAAAGTATTTCTGAAAGAGAAAATAGACTCATTTAAGCTCTTTCAAATACTTTCTTAGACACATTTGAGTCTGAGATAGCACATTAAATGGCCAGTCTGGAACAAGTACAGGAGTGCTCAGCTTGAGGCTGAGGCTGCAGTGAGCACCAGCAGACTCAGGATTGGCCACACGCATCCCTGTTGTACATTGGTCAAGAACCACTTGAAACTCCTGCAAAAGTGGGAAAACTAAGTTGGGAATTCATCAGATCTTGACTCCCATGGTGTCACAACAATTACAATCTTACGCAACCTTTTTTTCCCCTCTATTCATTTCTTCATTTTCTTAAGTGTTCCAATAACATATAATAACTGGCAATAAAATTCTCTGGATAAAATTATTCTCTCCTCTTTTTTTGCTTGCAGCACAGAAAGTTTAAAGCCTACTGAAGGATTAAAAATTAATCTATTTGCTGTCATGATATCACTCTTCAGGCTTATCTACTTTACTTGGGCAGCCAATGCACTTTTTGTGCCACTGGCCCCACTCCAATCCAGTGTTATTCTGGTGTAGCAACTCAGACAAAAAAAAAAAAAAAAAAAAAGAATGAAAAAAAAAATACAAGCTATTGCCAGCTTGTGGACTTCAAAAAATAAAATACAACAACTTGTCAGGTGCAAATAATGTAGATACACTTACCCTGGAATCCTTTTCCAGATGAAGCTTATGGTGAAGACTTCGTCTTCTTCTGGCCTTGGCAATGCCATTGTGATAGAAGTAGTAACCAGTATCTAGAAAAGGGAGCTGAGGAAAAGAGAGAAACACACAGAGTTATCAGCCACTAATAAGGATGCCATGGAAGACTTCACCTGTGAGGCGACTCAGGTGCCAACAAAACAAGACTTGTGAGGAGTTACACCACAGTGCCCAAATCACTCTTGAGAACATCAGTTCCAAGTTATTTTTGAAAGGTGTGCCCAGCAGCATTAAGGTTATTTGCTGCAGTTTTACCGTGTATGACTTGTATGCACACTTCATATTATTTTTGGCTTAAGCTTAAGGTTATTAGCACAAATATTCTGAAAGGCAATCCCTTGCTTCCTGAAAAAGATGGAGTAAAAGAACAAAATAAACTGCAAAATGATTTGAAACTACCACAAACGATCCTCCACCAGTAAGCTGTTACACAAGTACCTTTCCAAGTCATTAGAATGCATCAGAGGCAATGCCACAATTGCCAAATCCTGGGATGAATAAGGGCAGCAGGATCCTGTTATCATAAATGAGACTCCATACCTGTATACAGGTACATGCAGTTCATAGATAAAGTTTTCCTTCTACGACATTATTCCCTGTTTCATTACATTTATCACAGTATCTGTTGCAGTTCTGCAAAAGTATTTTGGAATTTGCGTGGAGTAGCATGGGAATGCAAGTTTCTCAGGGAATTCTGACAGTTTAAAATTTGATCACACTACAAAAATGACTGAGACCTAACTTCTTTTCTCCTGCAAAGTCTTCTTTTTATGCTATTTCAAGCAGTCTGTGTCAATTAAATGAAAAAATTCCATTTTTACTTTTAAAATCCCACTGTGTGTGATATAGTAACGCAAAGGAACTTTAAGAAAAAAAAAAATCAAAGCATTCTGTTCTGCTACAAGGACCTCCTTCTAACTTCAGGTTAAGCAGATTTCATCAAAATCATCGTGGACCCTTAGAGCTGAATCTCAGCTCTGTCTGGAGAGCTTTTCTGGGCAAATAACCAGAATATCTTGTATCAGCTTCATACACACGTGAAGAACAACACAACTGTATTTGAAGGAGAAACAAGACTACAAAAAGCTCATAGCAGTAGCCACAGAAGTCCTCCCATCTACCCACATAGCTATGCCTCTTAAAGCTCCAATTCTGTTCAGAAGGGGGGCAATAACTGAAACATGGCATGACCAAACACCATGAGTTGTGAATAACAACAGAAATAGCAATGTGCAGAAAATCTAAACTCTTCAGGAAATCTTTAAACTACAGGAAGGCAGGAAAAGTCAGATGCCAGCAAAGCGCTTAAGACAGTGCATGCCTCGATGAGGGTTTTTGCAATGAAACCCATGAAGCCACTCAAGTGCTTCATGTTTGACACACTCCTGTGACTGACTCTAGAACTCCAAACACCAGGATGCTGGTACCTGACAACTGGGTTGCTTTTCCTGCCATTAGGTTCTCTGGGAGCTCAGTTCTGCTTGGGAGCTCAGTTCTGCTTGGGAGCTCAGCATGACCACATAAACACTGCACGTAATGATGTGAAATGAAAACTAAAGGGCTCACATGCACTGCAAGCCCTGAAGATCCACCAGCAGTAGCTTACTCCATAATAAGTTCACTGTAAGCTGGAACTGAATTGGAGTAGAATCCTATTTCAGCAGCAGACTGTGCACAAAACATGGGTGAATAATTCACTCGATCTTGTGGCTCCTTCTGTAAGAAAGAAACGAAGTTTCCTGCCCTCACACAAAAACTAGCAATTATATAAGATTGTAATTACTGGCAAGCACTTGAAAATTAAAGTAAGAAGGATTATTAAGAGCGATAAAAAACAGGCCTAATATTGCCTTGATGTATAAATAAGGCAGACTGGGAAACTCAGGAATTATGTAATATATTAACTTGTATGAAATTACTGGTGAAAAAGACGCGAGCCAAAACAGAATCACTAATTGAACACGGCAAGGAGAGCGAGCCCTCATCCATCAATCTGTGCCAACCTTTGCTTTAGCTTTGCAACTGCCTTGATGAAGTACTTAACCTCCTTCTAGAAAAGAATGAGGACCAGAAAATTACTTTTGAAATTTTGGTGTTCAACTAAGTGGAGGAAAGAAAATAACTCTTTAAATGGAAGAGGCTTATCTAGAAAGGGAAATGGCTGGGATCTCTGCTTTTATCAGATTACTGCTGCAAAATAGCAGTACAGGTGCAATTAGTACTGAAATAAAAATAAGATAAACTCATGGCCCACAGCCTTCCTGCACTCCCCTTTCATATGCAGTCTTTCCCATGCAGGAAATTTACTTGGCGCTGTCCTAGATGCAGCCCTCAAGAAAAGGGGCTGTAAATAGGCAGCTAGGATTCCACCCTGCTTGCATTGCTTCTGGGCTCACGAACTCTGCTACAGCCTGTCAGCGAACAACTGCTCCTAATGGGGGCACAGGGGTTGTACCACACAATTGTGGAAGGGACAAAAGGGAAACAAAAAGCACAGCACACTGCTGAGCCTCCAGAAGCAGATCTGCTCCAAGAAGAAAAAGCAGTCATAGGATATCGTCTTCCTCACAGGCACTTGTCCAGGTCAGGGTAACCAGCAGCTCCCTTGGAGTGGATGTCCATCCCGCTCTGTCTGCTTGACAGGGAAGGTCCAACTTTATTTCCTTGTCAGTCCTGTGTTGGACAATGCATAGCGGCATCAGATCTAATTTTGTCTGTCCGAAAACGTGAGACATGAAGATCAGCTGCACAGCAGTGCAGGGTTTGAAGAAAAGAAGCCACAGAAAGACTGAACTGCAGCTCTGCCCCTTATCTAAACCAGTAGCATCTGAGCCACCTTGGAGAGACACACTGGTGGGGAAAAAAGGTACAATCTAGCCAGGAGTTTATGTTTGCAGCAAATGTGCTATAAAGCACCAAAAAACACCAACATTACAGACTCACAAAATATTGAATAAAGCCATCAGACAGATCACTCTTTCACCTCGACACAGTGAGGTCCAGTTCTCACAACCTGTCTCTAGATTTAAGAAATGACAAATGCAATGCAAACCCAAAGAGGAGCCTTGGTTCCCAGGCTTATCTTTCCCATCAAACGGCACTGACTTGCTTCAGGGCTCTATTTCCCATACATCTCACAAGCAAATTATGGCACAAACAGGAAGCAAGGACTGAATAGCTCTGTCCTGTTTTAAGGAGTTTTCTCTCTGCCTGGGCTTCACATGCAGCCTGTCTGCTGCATCCTATAACACAGCATCCCTGAAATACTCTGCTGGGTTTCGTGTCTCATTTCCAGCGATTCTTCCCTGATACCAGATTACTCTAAAACAGTGAATAACAGATTACTTGAACCTATTGCTATGGCTCCTTTTCCTAGTCTGCAGTGGAGACAACAGTCTGCAACAACTTCTGTAGAGTAAAATAATTTAAAAAAAATCAAAAGCTGTTGTGTTTTTTGTTGTTTTTTTTTTTTTTTTCTTTTAAACAATTACCCTTCTTGATTGCCACTGAAATCAGCATAAATGGATCTGTCAGTAAGATTGACTGAAATTCCTTTTCTAGAGAAGATGGCGAAGACCTTCTTTGGGGCTTCTTGCCTGCACAAAGATGGGACTGGTACATAGGGTACAAACCAAGACTGGTGCTGAAGAAACCTCTGATCCGCTCTAAGGAATTTAAAAAAAAAAAAACAAAACACCTGCCCTCAATTAAAATAAATAAAACATACTAACACAATCTCTCCTCAACACAGCCTTAGCACAGCTCCTGCCTTTAAAAGGAGCCATAAATCTCCACAGGTGAGTTTTCATCCCATTACTGCTCAGTAATTATACAACCCAGACCTGGCACAAGAAAATGTGTTTGGAGCCTTCACAGCCCCTCAGGCCCTGCTCCTTCAGTTGCCATTACAGCTGAAGCACAACGAAGTGCCTCGCAGCAGAAATTAGAAACCTTTTAGAAACCTTTTCATCCCAGCTTCCCCAAATGCACCGAGGATGCTTATAAATATTCAATATGAATTTTTAAAACTCTCTCTCTCATTTTCCCTCACCCTGATTAGCATTAGAAATCGTTTTACTTTTAAATATACAGATGGGAGCCAAATCTGAAGTCAAAGGCACTCACTCGCTATAGCGACGAGGACCACATACAAGTAGAGCCAGCTAGAAACTCAGGCAGCTCGAGGCATAGAAATAAAACAGAACAAAGTACAAATAAGAAAGGATTAATTCAGATGGTGGTAGAGAAGTGTGGAATAGCACAGAGGGCTAAAGCTTTGCCAGAGGTTGCTCATGTGAAACTCAGTCCACAGTGTGCCCAAGGCCCCAGGCAAGGATTTCACGCTTTCTCATTAGTTCATTATAATTATTCAAAAGCCTCAGCAAAAGGAGCTCAGGTAGAATCTGCACAAGCTCCAAACAGCAACCAGGCTCCAGGACTGAATGGTTCAATGCTCTGATTTGGTCTTCCTGGCCCACTTCACACTGTACTTACTGTGCTACCTGTTAGTTGTCTCCATCCAAGTAATAATCAAACTTAAGCCTATTTAGCTTGGCAAATTTGGCAGGTGGAGGTGTTAGCCACAGCTTTAACACCTCCAAAATGTAAATCTCATTAAAACATCCATTATACACAACACGATCCCTGTAAAGTCAGCATTTCTTCTACTGATGAATTCAGAAGTGCCTGGCTTAGCTACTTGCATATGTTCTTATCTCTGCTGTATGTTCTTCCAATCAACAGGCAGTAATACAACATTACATTATAAATAAAACATTATAAATGCAGATGTGGTATCCAAAGACTGCCAAACAAGATTTTATTTTATAAGGTTTTTTCCTAGTGCCTTTTGAATACAGTAAGCACAAGATTAAAAGTAAATGCACAATGTAAATGGAAGAAAAGGGACCAGCTTTTGGCTGACCAGAATTATGACTACATGTCCAGTGTGTCCATGTGAAATACAGAATTCATGTGAGCTCCCCATACAATTCACTGCAAAAAAAAAAAAAGAAGAAAAAAAGGCACTTTCAGAGCATGATTCATCT